CATAAATAATATAGTATATAATATATATTTATATATATACATATGTATATGTATATATATATATATAATATAAGCATACTTCAAATTGAGGAATTTTTCAGGCGCGTGTGGACAAGGGCACGGACGATACTATACCGGTCAATGTGTCGCAAAAGGGTCGACGATAAACACCATGTACTTACAGATACTCTCATATTATGCTTATATATACCATGTACATACATATACTCTCATACGCTTATATATAACATGTACTTACATAAACTCCCATATCCTTATATATACCATGTACTTACATATACTCTCATATGCTTATATATACCTTATACTTACAAATACTCTCATATGCTTATATATACCATATACTTACATATACTCTCATTTGCTTATATCGGTGGTATATACGTCGAAGGCAATCGATGTACAGGCACAGCCGAATCACATACCCACTGGCTTGCCTCCGGATAACTCTCGTAGTTGTTTGATGAAGTGCATGAGTTCGACAGGGCTTTGGAATGCCGAGTGCGACGGAGGTGACAAGCACTCCTCGCCCACCTGTGCGTATAAAACAGTGGGATGAACACGGATGGTCTTAGCTATGTATGTATGTATGTATGTATGTATGTATGTATGTATGTATGTATGTATGTATGTATATGTATGTATACTTATGTATGAGAGTGGGGCTATTTATTTTTTAGATATTTATTTTTGCATACCTATATCTCATTGTGTGACGAAGCATTGTACGTTTATATATTCTTATACGCGCACCCACTTCGACTTCAAGAGTGATACAGTGATATAGTAGCGGACACCACTCGGTTCCGTGTACTTAGCTGAACGCGAACAGTCCGTCTATATATTACTAGGTGTTCGGAGAGGGGCGATGCTTTAAATAAAACAAAGTACAGATCCCTGGCCTTACACTCGAACCTGATAGTTTAGGGTCTTAGGGCTCAATCACCCGACCTAAAAACTGTGCATACTGAACTACCCAGCAACAGCAGTGGGCATGAGGCATGCGAATACCCTAACAGGCCAGCGAACACCTGAATTTGAACACCCGCACAACCTCTTATTTTATAACAAACACAGACATATAAAATGCAATATCAAACATCTACAGAAATATAGTACGCGTAGAGAACCACCCATAGAAATATAACACACACAAACAAACATCCACAGATATATACCACGCATAAACAAACGCCCATAGGTTTATAACACGCGCAAACAAACATCCACAGAAAAATACCACGCATAAACATACGCCCATAGAAATCTACTGAATCCCGGATATAGTATACACACAAACCAAACACCCTTAGAAATCTACTGAATCCGGATATAGCATACACACAACCAAACACCCATAGCAATCTACTGAATCCCGAATATAGAATACACACAACCAAACACCCATAGAAACTGGCCGGCGCTTTGCTTACCTTGACACCTCTGGCTTCAGCAATAAACTTGGTGACTTTAGATCCCGGAAGCATACCACCGTGCGAGGGCTTTGCTCCTTGACTCATTTTGATCTCAATCATCTTAATCGCTTCTTGGGTTGAGTTTTTCTTGAACATCTCGGGATTGAAACTGCCGTCGGGGTTACGGCAGCCAAAGTAGCCTGCGACGATAAATACAAAAACGATTAGTATATATATATATATATATATATATATATATATATATATATATATATGTATATATACATATATATATAAAACTATATATATATGTATATATATATATATATATATATA